TGTCTGTGACCCATCCAAGGGATTACGGCAGAGTGCTCCTGACAAAATCGGAGGATTCTCAGGTTACAACCCACTGTCATATGCCAAAGGGTTAAAGGCAACCCAAATCTTTCATAACTATCGCTCGTGAAGTTACTGAACAACTGGTTAACCTTAGCCGGCAGGGGATAAGAAGTAGCAGTGGATACCTGATAGGAAAATGCGAGCTAAGTTAACAGCATTTTAAAATCGGCCATTTCGATAAGATGGACGACAGGTTCTCTGCGTGGAGCGAACCTCGGCACATATACTCCAAGTTACCTTATACGAGCATACGTATATCTACAGCTTTGAGAACGATTATTATCTCCATACAAAATCTGAAACATGACACCTTCCAAAGTGCTTAACTTTATAACTAGCCTAAGGTTTGAAAGACTTCTTTAGGGTTTGCATAATATATTTAAATACATGTGTAGGTCACAGCTGGTATACCTTAAAAAACAACTCGAAAATATGGAATACTGCGCTTTATATAAAAAAGATCAAAAGTTCTGTTTCTTTTCGACTCCCAATGGAGTCATCCCGAACTAGACTATTTTTTTTGCAGAAGTTTTTCTTAACGGCAGTTACTTATAAATATAAATATATATACATATTACTTTCCTGAATGTACATGCATATTTAAATGTGTAAGGGTAAACTATTGTGAATATTTTCTTTAGCCATAGATGAATAAAGGCGAATGTAATCTGCCGCACCATCGATACGAAAATGCATACATTTGTGTGAATGTGAGTAGTTTGTTATAATAGAAAGCATGCAAAGTTAATTGAAATGAAAATTGGCATTTCGAAATTACAAATGTGTAGAAATATCAGCAAATAGCCATTACAACAATACTCGAAAGATACTCATGCAAACTGTACATATGTACATACACACTGACTTCGAATAACATTTATTAAAATGTATAGAAAATATTAATATTAAAATATGTAAACATATGGCGAAACGAACCACAACAGTTAGATATTTATCAATTGAAAGATATCTATTCATACCTTGGATCGTAGCCGAGTAATGGACTTTCAAATGTACAACTTCCATTGAAAATGCATCCGAATGCCGATGAATAAATACATACATAGATACATATGTATGTAGTTGCGATGAAAATGAACGTATGCAGGTGTACGTACCAAAATATAATTTGATTTGTTGTAGTTGCAGTTGTAATTATTGTAGTCGATTGCGTCATTCATGTGCGAGAGCAAACAATTTTATGAATGTATGTATGTTGTATGAAAGTTGATTAAATGATTTGGAAAATGAAAAAAAAAAAAATTAAAATGATTTTAAATTATTAGCACAATAACATATATAAGTAGATACAAACAAAAATGTGCACTTACATTCTAGTACACATATGTACAATCATGCGTATAATTTTAATAAATTTTGAAAGGAAACTGCTTAAATAGTAGGTATTTGTTATCCTTTAAATATAAAATATTGTGTTTACTGCATTATGAGATATGAAGAATAATGCTTTAAAGCTTAAAACGTTATTTACAATGCTTAGTAGCTCGTATTTTTGAATTTTAACAAAAAAAAAATCATATCTATTTTTAATAATTTTATATGTGTCTAAATGAACAAAGACTTTGGACCATGCACTATTTTACTTCCCAGAGACTGCTACACTACTTGAATACATAATTAGATCAATAAGCTCCAGAGTGAAATTTTAGGGAAAATATTTTTCTTCGTCTGTTTTAGAGGAGTCATAAGCTCGGCTGTCAGCAATAGGTGCGATGTGCGTTAATCACCATTACAAAAAATCGCAAGGAGGATTTAGGAATTGCAGCATACTTAATGAATACTCCCTTTATGCCAACGGTAGAGACATTTTGACTAGAAAGTTTAAAAATGCCTACTTACATAAGTAAAGGCAAAAGTGAGGAAAACTGCAACACTACACTTAAAGCCCTCGAAATCAAAGTGGAGCCAAAAAGCCAACCGGACTGCTTTATAAGAGCAATTAGTAAGGCTGCAAACATACATACATACTTAGTTCGCAATAAAACGTTATATAGAAGTTAGAGGAAACACAACGGAAAATGCGCCATCGCCTCTCGCAGTGAGGAATACTGGTTATTCTTCTAAAAACAAAAAAGAATAGAATAAAATCCTAAGGCACCGATTTCAGAAAACACAAACACCAGGCCCAGGAAAACCGCATCTGGCTCAGACCGCTTAAGACCAAGCTGTTTCATGAGCAAAGCTGCCAACTATTTTGGAATAAAAAAATCCAGATTTTTATAAAAACGCTAGAAAGTGTTAGATCCCACAAAACAAAAGCTGAAAAATAAATAGGTATATATTAATGTAATTTTTAGCAATTCATTTGAAACATTTTTTGAAATTAAAATTAATAATAGAATAATACAGATGGAATCGAAATTCATAAGAAATGAAAAATAAGAGAATAAAAGTTAATATAACTATATATATAAGTGTATACCGCTGCGTACCTTTGCTTTCACCAAGTTTAACTGGCTGAATAAAGTTCAAGGTCTGCATTAGGCCAAGGTAGTGAGATTAAATGAAGTGCAAATTGCGCCAGATCGGAAAACAATTTGTTGCCATCTGCATCAATATAAGTTTGAATTCCATTGTATTACATACATATGTATGTATATGTATGTATTGTTGCATTTTACAAAATTAGTTCCATTAAACTGAATTGTTATTTTTTCTTTGATATCATCACTGTAATTAAAATGTTTTAGAATGTCTTCTATCTTCTCTTGCGATGCGCGTAAACATTGCCCACTGAACACATATTAACTTTTCTAATCGTATCGAAATTATTTGGTAATCTAAATTATCTTGTGATTTTAAATATATGGAAAAAGCTAAAAATTTATCAAGAAAATTCCCAAAAGGCTGAATTTTCCGATTCCCGCAATTTCTTATTTTCTGCCACTAAATGGACTTCGAAAAAGCCAGATATGACGGGAAAAGAGCTAAATTGGCAGCCCTGTTTATGAGGTGCGACGACGGAAAGGAATGCAAAAAATCTAAAAATCTGCCTTTTCACACTTTCGAGGAATCAGTTCATAACTTACAAATTTATTTATCCGACGGGCTACAGCTTCCGATTTGTTTTTTTTTTCATAATCTAAACGCTTTGTCAATGGCAACATGAATTTTTCGATCGTTACAGCGACACCATGAATTTGTACGAGTTTGACATAAAAGAAGAGGATGAACCTTATCTGTCGCTGGAAAAATAGAAATATATGTAATCTGGTCACAGCAACATTTTTGGCTAGTCGCGGTATCGTCGACAAAGTAATTACACAGTGCAACAGTCAAAAAGTGATGGGAATGAGACCAATTATTAAAAGAGGTTAAAATATGAATAAATATCTACCGTATTTCTTTTTTGTATCGATTTGAAGTTGTGAATTTAAAGTTAAAAAATAAACAAGTACCACGTTTTTTTTATTTTGGTCACAAATTTGATACCTACATACACATACACGTATGTAAGCAAATTGTGAGGAACTCGCCATTCCGTAACCCAGATCCGAAAGACGCTCAGATCAAACCAGACGCTGTATACTAGGAAGCTGCTGACAACCTGCGTCTAATGGCTGTGCGAACTGCTGCAAATTACCCTATGTGATGGTGAAGCAGTTTGTGAAATGCAAACGAGAAAGCTTGAAATAAAGAGTATCACCATATCACTTTCGCTGACAAGCTCATGATTAGGGAGTTCTTATTAAAAAAGCACATACGTGGTGAGTTCAGTGCCCCGTATATGGCTACGCTTATGTGGCCATAATAACAGCCAGTTTCACCAGATTTATTTAAGTTAGATTTTCGAAATTTTAGTTTCACTAATCCATTTTAATTTGTTTTTAATTTTGATTTAAGTGACCTATGCTCTTCACTTAAATAAAATAAAATTTTAACTTTTCATTGCCCTCTCAGCACAAACACTAAGAACCGGGTAATGAAAAGGCAACATTTTTTGTAGAAACGAAAACGTCATAAGTGTGAGTAACCACACTCAGAGGTGTTACACGTTTAATCACCTGATCATTGTGTATCTGCTGCTTACTTGTATACCAGCCCTGCTATTAAAACACAGCGTGCTAAAGCTCTCAGTACAAATAGAAAGCTTTCGCTGGCGTAGTCTGTTTTACAACCACTTTTTACTCACTTAAATAAATAGCTTATTGAAACTGAAAATAATTTAAATGAGAAATTAAATAAAAAATTAAATTAAAGTTAATTTTCACTTAAAAAGTTTAGTGAAACTGGCTGTAGGACATGACAAAATTGCAAGGGCTTTTTTGTATGGCAACTACTCATATTCGGTATCTCCACGAATTGGCTGAAAGTAGAGTAAGCGTTTTGATGTATCTTCGGCCAAATCGTAAACCTATGCGAGCTGGTAGTAATAGCAGTAGCCACTTAAGCTTAAACTAACAAAACTTTTATAGCAGGGTTAGAGGGTGAAGATCTTTACAAAAATATGCACTATTTATATGTGTCCGAATTAAATATTTCGCGAAATATTTTAGCTACACAAATCTTAGAATAAGTTTTTATTGATTATACCTAAATAGGTTTTGGAAAAAATAATATTCGCTTCGTATGGGTTACAGACCATTTTAGAAAATTTTAATTAAATATGCCGAAAGTTTTTGGAAAATTCCGAAGCTTTAACTCCTAAAATTTATTTTAAAACTTCGTTGACGTAATACATTAACATGAAGTGACAACGATTCTTCTAAAAGGACAAAGAAAAGCTTTATTTCTAAACTTAATGGGATTAAGTAATTTTTAAAGTTTTCTCTATTTAAACATTTTTCTAAATCAAAATGTAAAAAAAAATCTGTGAGAAAGCTTTGAACCATTTTTGTTTATTCCTATAAGATTCTAAGATTATTTAAAAACTTTAACACATTAGTTACCAAAAATGTACTTTTATCTATTTACAGATTTTGTGGTTACTGCATATATTCCATGGTTATAAAAAGGTAAATATTTTTTTATTAATTCATGCGTTTCATTCACTCAGAATCTTTTTGTGGTGACAAAGAATATTTTCCTTAAATTCTTGACGAATTTTCCTCAATAATGGGAAAGTGGAGCAAGTGCATCAAGTAAAAGTATCAGAGCATTATCAGAGACAGAGGCGAGTTTCAGCAGAAAAGTAAGCATAAAGGCAGCTATAAAGCTTGCAAGAAAGGGATTTGTTGCAAGTTATCGCTTTGAATAACTCTTTATTTTGAATAGTTTTTGAAATTTAAGTGCAATTAATTAGAACGCTAACAGTTGCGTTTCTAACGCCAAAAATTTACAGCGCGCATTATACCTAAATAGAATGGTTTACATTTTTTTCATATCCTTCCTTTTTTGTTCCCTTTTTCTCAGTTTTGTACTCTTTCTTTTTCACTTTCTCTTTCTCACAAATATGAATAATCCATTTGCTCGACCGAAATTAGACAGAAAGAAGAAATAAATATCAAAACTCTCAGATATACACAGAGTAGTGTGGTCTTCGAAACAAGCGTCAAAGTCAATATATACAACAAGGCTGCCTGGATTACCTCTAAATTGGAGGTACATGTCCCGGCGAGACCCCTGAGGGCATTGGAGAAGGCGTATATGACCCTAAACCGAAGCTGTCAGTAACCTTGGAAACCGTCCCTAGCATCTTTCAAGCGGAAGTTTATACCCTCAGTTATTGTGGGACTAAGTAATAGTCGGGCGGAACGGAGTGAATTGAAAAGCTTAATTTCCTTGATGAGGATAATATTATCCAAATAACCAGGGTACCAGATCACATGGGAGTAAAAAAAAATGAATAAGCCGATCAGCTAGCCAGACTGGCTGCTGCATTGATCCCAATAGGACCGGAGCCCTTCCTTACGGTAAATTCCAGTACGATAAAGGAGGCGTTCATAAAGGAAAGTACTAAATTGGTACTGCATTGGCGTAACATCGCAGGAATTCGTCAAACCAAGAGCATATTAGCTTGACTAACTATAGAATTACAATTTTGGAAGAAATTTCTTACGGCCCTCTCACCTTCAGGCTTTTAAAGGAGTGTTTTGTCTCACCTTTAGAGGTGAGAAGAACGGAAGAACTGTACTGGGGGCCCAGATCAGTGCGTATTGAAGAAAATATGGTCACCGCTGAACTGACGAAGCGAGGTTGATCGTCTGGCCTTGTGGGTCGAAACCTTTTCACTGACTCGGTTGGTCTTCTTGGAGACCTTGGCTGACTTCCAAAATGTATCAATACAATGTTTGGATACTGTTATACTGCGCTATTCAAACTGTTGATTACTCTAGCGATGCGTTTCGATAACTATTCGGATACGTTTTAGAAAAGTATAAATTGTCAATATTTTGCAGTTCGGCATTATGGAACATTATACTTTGTACGTCTGCAAAGCAATTGACATTTTGAAAGTCAGCCGTTCTGTTACCTTATAGGTAAATTTTACGAGGCGGTAAGGTCACCTTATATGGCCATCTGCATCAAAAAGAAAAAAAATGTCGCTTACGTTATTTTGTCGGTTAGGGCTCGATATGTAGCTTGGTCAGAAAACCATCTACCGTCTCTGTCTTAAATTAAGCGAAAAGTCAAAGCACATTCTTTGTGAATACTCAGGTTAGATACAAACGATCTTCTAGGTCGCAGTGCTGCGTGTTATGTTGCACCCAATTTATTAACTAACTTTCCATGTATTTAAATACTAAGGTTTATTTCAAGAAATAGATTTGCTAATGAATCGTCGTGGTCGAAACTTTCTTGACTAATTTAAGCCTTCCCAGGAATAACTTGTCTAAGCACCAGCAATAATCTCTTTGCTACTTAATTAGCTAGCAAATCCATAACTGCCAGTGTTTGTGGGAGTCTTACAGGCCTATTCGGAGTATTGGTGAACATTTTACAGCCGACAATTTTATTAACAAAAGTTACCATTTCAATCTATTTAACGGTTACAAAATTGTTGCTACAAGCTCAAAATATACCTGTTAACCGTTAAATTTTCAAAAGGAATTCATGAGGTAATACGAGTTGTCAACAGAACATCAATGAATATAAGAAGTTTAGTAACTAAGTAAATAGTTAATAAACATTGAAATCCAAATTTATTTAAGAGTTTGTAATTTAGTATTGAAAATAGGTACATGGAAAATTCTGCAAAATAATGTGACGTTCGTGTAAACATTCTCAATGGGACTTACTATATAAGAACAAAACCCTGTAAAAAATATTCTCTGAGCTATTGGCGAAGAAAAGAAGCAAGAACAAATTTTTTCTCCTAGTGTTCAAATAGCTTGAAATATTTGGATATTAAAACTAATCAAAAAAAGAACTCACACATAACTTAAGACCCGAACTTTTCTTGCACAGAAAATGAAAAATTGTTCTTTAAATGGACTGTTCACCCAATGATAAATGATCTGGAAATTTAAATGATTAAGTTTTCTTATGAAACGATTTTTCATCCCAACACGCAGTTGCCCCTCCCATTCTCGCTGTATATTTCTCAAAACGTTTGTTCTAGTTCATTTCTCTAGCAGAACGTTTCCCAGACTTTTGTTCGTTTTTTTTTTAATTGGAGCTCCTCGAGAGTTTTGTTCTCATTCTGTTCTTCTTGAGAACGTTTCCGAGGGTTTTGTTCGCATTTTGCTCTTTACGGAAGCGTTTCCGAACCTTTTGTTTTCACTTTGTTCCCCTTCAAACTGCTCTCAATATTCTTGTTCCCATTAGGCTCTTTTGTGGGCACGTTCTTGACTTCAAATTTTTGTATCATGCCGAACTAAACCAAAACTGTAAAACGTGTCTTCGGTCCCTGGTAAAAATTAACCAGAATTTAAATAGCACCAATTTTAAATTTTGAATTACAAATTTTCGAAGAGTGATGATCTATTGTCAGAAGGTGAAATGATGTACATATATTATGTACTCCTAAGATCACTAACATGCAACATAATATGTTATGAGGTTATGAATTTCCCTAAATGGATCAGCAATGGAGGTATTCACCGAATTAAGCAAAAAATATAGTAAGCGGTTACTTTAAATAAACATATTTTGTTGTTAAAAAACAAAACTTCTACCAAGGTTTTTCCACCAGGTCAATCGTTGAGTTCAGTGATTACTCCAGTGCTCAAACATGCTTACATTAATAAATACATAAATTCAAATTTAAAAAGAAAATGGACTATAAATTACCCCAATGTAGTGCCAGTTATGAGTTCCGCTTGTGCACTTAATGTTTCCGCTATAAATTCATCATTGTATGCATCTTTAGGCCGATACCAACGTCTACCGCCGGGCAAAACAAGCGGCCGTTCCGAGGATGGTGTTAATGGGCCAAAGGCACGTTTCGATCGACGGCTGGGATTGTGATTGCGCTCCAGCTCCTCTTCGAGCTCCTCGATGACATCGTTACGCTGCCAGTTTTAGGGCCAGTTTTATGTAATTTTCGGTCAATTTATTCACAAACAAAAACATGTAAATTGAGTTGTGTGTATGCTTTGTGCATTTGGTCGTCTGCATATATTGTATATATGTATGTATGTAGACGTGCTGCTATAAAAGTGTAGGTGCTAGTTTATGAGTTTATTTTAATTATTTATGTATGAGTGTAGATAAGTAAGTTTGTGAAAAAGATTAGTGTGTAGGCTGATTGATAATAAACTTTAAGGTTTTTATATATCTTTTCATGTGCTGAACACAATTCTGTATTTTAATTAAATTGACTTCTTGTTATATTTGCATTTTCTATAATTTCATGGTTGCTAGGAAATGCCAAAACTTTAGTACTTTATTTACATAATTTCTCCTCTTTTCAGCTTTTTGAAAACAAGTTTTTTTTTGATATTGTGAAAACTTTTTTGATACTTCATGTGGATTTTTTGGGAAGCTGCCGATTTTGTTAAAGCACGCTCTGGCTTAATTTTTCATCTTCATAATTCAAAGCGTACTGTTTGCCGCTGTAAAAGACCAAAAGCTTTAAATAGGGCTATTATTTAGTGGATAATCACGTGTTTAAAACTTTTGTGGGTAAATTTTTGGATTGGTAGAAGTGAACGAAAAACATATTTTGTGAGACATTTATTTAATACGCTTGTAACCATTTAGGATTTATTGCGGAAAGCGGATGAAATGTAAAACTAGGTATCATCTTAGTCGAAGGCTCTATCAAAAATTAATAGGAAAATCAGAAATATTGATTTCACGCGCTTGTTACACTAGTTCCCCGTTGCTCATGTATGACGGAATTAAATTATTAAAATACTTAGTGGTGGCAGATCTTGCCTGTTTTAAAAAAGCATTTCAATGGGTGTCGGAACTGTTAGAATCATCATATATCTTGGGCAACTTTGGTTTTCTACCAGTCAGCACAGACCGGGGTGTCCAAACTTTGAATCTGGTTAGAAAATCGTCCATGGAAATCTTAAGCAGGAAGTGGTGCGTGAAAAGTAATTGCACTCCACCCGGCAGCATTTAAATTTTCTCAAATAGTTCGAATTTAATAACAAAATCTCCTGAAGGAGAGGATTAATATTATGGTGGCTTTATACGAATATTTGTCTTAAGCAAATTATTTCATAAAAAGAAGTCACCAGTATGCCATTCGCCACTTGTAAGCTGGTCATAAACGAATTTTTCTAGGCTCCAGGAAATCAAATATATAAAATGGGTGCTCCATCTAGACCATTCATTTAATTTTAAATAAAACACTAAAAACAGAAATGGATGTCGGAATCTCTATTAAAACCCAATTAATTAATTAAGTAATTGACTATTGGACCTTCAGAATGGACACCCACAGCGAAGTCGCGGCCGACATTTGAATGAAATTATTTTTAAAAAGTATATAACAGACACCGTTCTTTCGGGTAATAATAAAGGTTCCGACAGTCAATTCGGTTTTAAGTGTTTTATTTAAAATTAGAAAATGTCTAGATGAATCCTCATATACGAGATCAAGTCTCTAGCCAAATTTTGG